GTTGGCTAGCTTAGATGCTATAAATTTGCTCAGTCGCTGCACTTGGTTCCCTAAGCGCAGTCTATCCATACAAGCACGGATGATGAAGTTCCACGTAGAGCCTATGTTTGCGAAGGCGCCCACTTTGCGGTCGCCTACATCAACCTTTACCACAAAGTGTTCACCCCTAGGACCTTTGCTGATCATCAGCCAAGAGTCCCTGGGGTCCTTTCCTGACCACTCAGTTTGTAACTCTTCTCAGGACTCAGACACATCTCTTGTCTGTGGGGCGATAACTGGGTCAATAGCCTTGGCCAACGCCTGAATTGGTGAAGGCAACGTTACCACTTCAGCACGAGTAAGAGCAGCTAACACTCCTACTGGCCTGAGGTGTTTCCTTGCGAAGTGCTCGTAGAAGCACCACCAGGATTCGAAGACAGGCCTATCACCGTAGGAGAGGCTACCTTCGTTGTGACCTTTTTGCCTCAGCACGTTCTAGACGTATGACCATAGTTGCCACAATTAAGACACGTACCTTTGGCAACTCAGTCCCTCCATACCTCCTAGTCTAAACCAAGTTTTACCCTTGTAGGTGTTCCTTGGTCGTCCTGGCCCTTGGACCGGCTTACCTTTTGCTTCCCTGTCCCCCTAGCTTTTTCTTTGATGTTTTGACTCCCCCGTGTGAAGTTTTGCTAGCCCCATCCTGCTCTGTGTCTTTCCCATAGCCAGGGAAGTCGTCGATCTCAGTTGCCTGACCATCATGGTCGACAAATAGGATATTGCCCTTCTTCCTCCCGTCCTGGGAAAGTTTCTTCTTCCTACCATCTCCGTGGCCCTGATGAGCGGTCCCAAGTTTAGCCTCTATATCTAAGGCTTTCTTGCTGAAGGTATTGAAGCTATGCACATCGATGGAGGCCTCGTCCACCAACTTATTCTTTACAGTTGTAGGCAAACATCTCATATAAGTTGTGAGAAATACCTGCGGGTCATATCGCACACCAGACACCATGATCAAACGTTTTACGGCGTTTGTGACTTCACGCACTGTCCGGTACCGTTTGGAACCAAGACTGAACAGTGCGTCAATGGCCTTTTGAGCCCCTTGAGGGTCATGCCACCTATTGTACACAGTCCGTACAAAGTCCTCCAATGTCCGGGCTTGGGCCCAGACTGTCTGGGCCTGGGCCCAGACATCGAAGTTCTGACCATAGCCCTGTTGCTGCAATAGACCATTCAACCATCGCGCTGCAGAGCCCTCTAAAAAGGAAGCAGCGACTATAACTTCCTGCTCTGGCCTTGTGAGCTTGTGCCTCACATAGGTAGGCACAGTCCTCACCTAGGTGTCCAGGTCCTCATCCTTTTTCTTGTCACCAGAGAAAGGTTTAGGACTCAGCAAGGGAATCTTGGGCATCCACTGTATGGGTTGGATTGGCCCTGGTGATTGCTGCAGTGGCTGCATAGCCACTGAGATAAGTTGCTGCATGCTAACCTGAGCCTGTCCTGGCGATGGGACTGTAGCTGCCACCGTCATTGATGGTACGGGAGAAGTGTTACGAACCGGACCACTAACAGCTGCTAAACCACATGGGAGAAAAAGAGGGCCCTACCGGTGACAGCGTCACTGAGGGACCCACAACCGAAGGGGGAGCTACAAAATACTGGGGCTGCCTCATCATTGGGCGAGGAGCTTGCAGTGCAGCTCAAATTCGCTTTGGGCCGGCCACTAGTTCAGCCAGCACTTCCTGCTGGACAACCTGCGTTTCTGCCACGCAAAGAAGCGAGCGACAGAGTGACTGCATCGCAGGATCCAGCGTTGACTCGTCCAGTGCTTCTGGTCTTCCTAACTCCTGCCTCCTAGTTCCTAGTCTAGCTTTTCTCAGTATTGCTTTTTCTCTTCTTGATGCTGCATCTCTCAACTGCTGCTGCAACTCATCATGAAGTGCTTCCGCTAGGAGGATCTCATAATCCTCTAGCGTGAGGGGAGACTGCTGGCTGACTTGCAAACCAACAGACTGACTAATGGGACTCTGAGAGACACCCTGACTAACACCTGACAAAGAGGCCTGGGACAAGGCCTGTGACATGGTAGAGGCGGTAGCCATTGCGGCGTCGGCGCTGGCTGCTGCTGCCCTAGACCTCCGTAATGCCACCCTCTCCCTGGTTTCCCTCCGCAGCCTCCTTTCCTCTCCTGGACTTGACTCCTGGAAAGTGATCAGTCGACTGAGAGCAGTTCTGCGGGTAACTCTAAGATCTTCCACTAATCGTTCCACCTCCTCACTACTAACTGCTTCACTCATGAGCTACAATGGTGTGTGATCTAAACTAGAATCCACACTGAATCCTACCTCAGCATGACACCCAACTGAGTAAAAATAGTCAACTAATTCGGTCAGCCTGGAGAAAAGTAGTCAAGTGGTAACCGGCAACCAATGTCAGGTTCTAAAGGTAACCCTATTTCTATTTTTAGATTATTCTGAAACAGAATGCAATGCGGCAAGGAATGGTCTATCCTATCTGCAGCTGTCTGTCAGTTGTCACGAAGTCCGTACAACTAAATGATCAAAAATAAAAATAAATTACCTGTGGAGATGCAAGCTGGATGGTAGTTCATCTAATTAGTTCCACGGCGAACAGTTGCCGGAATCTCCCCTCCCCCTTCCTTCTTGATTGGTCTCTTATGTCGACACCTTGAGCATCTGGTTGAGCAGCGTGGCTGAAGGTGTGCAATCTGGCCCACCCCTGTGCCCCAAGTCTATGCTAAGCATGCCAGCCCTGCACCTTGTTTATCCTCGCATGCAACGAGCCTTAGTTCTGGTTGATCTGGCTGATTGAGAGGCAGTCTTAAGGACAGCCCCCAAGGTCCTCAGGAATCACTGAACGTCGCAGACAGGACGACGATCACAGCCAGGGTTCAACCGGAACCGCCACAAATATTTATAGACGGTCTGGTGAGCATCTCCTATAGGGCTGGCATGCCCAGCATGACCTCTAATGCGCAGCAAGCAGAGCCAAGGACTTGCGGCAAAGCATGCGTGTACTAGTCCCAGCGGGTTGGCATGGTGACCGGGACTCGAGTGCTTCGTCCAGGGCCCTTCATAGGCTTCACCCATTTCCCACCAGCTTGCTGCCCAGGAAGAATGTAGACTCTCAAGGTTGAGCGCTCGCATCACCTCACATTGAGAGGACTCTCAAGACAGAGCTCACTTCCTCATGGTAAGAAGCAATGAAGAGGGTAGATGAGGAAGAAAGCAACGTACCTCAAATGCTGCCCCCAACCAGAGATTTCTCACTGGCAACCTGACATGCTCTCATAACCCAGCGTACATCCCTATGTCACCTCATAGCCTTTCTGGCGCGCCCACGGGCCCGACACGACCCTGGGCCGCCTCGCGTTCACCGCCTAAGCATTATCACTGCTCCACACCACATGCGAAGCACCGAAAACAGCTATTGTGAAGAACCAGTAAGCGCAGTTCGAACCAGCTCTGATACCAAATTTCAAGGAAAATGATCAATAGCGAGATGACAGAATCCAGATTAGACGATCACATTGAAAGCCAGAAAGTCTCACAGTGCCCAGAAAGCAGCATTGCACCAATATTACACCAATGGAGAATCGAAACACTGAAACAGCTACTATCTGCCTATGAATTGACAATGCAACTGTTGACGTCCGCAGCCACCAAAGTACATGAAGATGACGCCCAATGCAGACCATCGTCAATACCAGGTATGAGCCCTCACATCATCATCCTCATCTCTATCTCTCTCTCTTCCTCGTGTTTCTCCCTTGTCTTCCTTCTATACACCCCAAGACTACCACTGCGACTTGCTGTTTGTCCAATCCCAGCCAACTATGGAAGCTGGGCTATGGCGCTGCCCTCAGCAGTGCACTTCTTCCCACACGACCGCACATGCACAGCACCTTGCCCCAGCGCTAGCAGCAGCCCAGGAACGTATGGCAAGTGCCCCAATGTCTCCCAGACAGCTAGCTCTTTCCTATATGGAAAGAGTCTGTCCTGCCCTGCGGCCAGGCTGGGCTGGGCCTGCGCCTAGAAGCTTCCTGTAGGCCCCAGGTAGCTGAGCCTCTGTAGCTGCTGCGGCGCCTCGTTCGGTTGCGCCTCCCAACTGTCTGTGTATATTGCTGCAAATGTGGCCCAGGGCCTGCCTTTCAGAAAAAAGGCCTAGAAGGCCATCGAAAGTCTTTGCTGCTCGGGACCTGGGTTCCCTCAATCAACTGGCGCAACACAACTGCCTGAACCCCAAGTACGAAATCGACAGCATTGGGCCACTTGTGATTTGTTAGGCCCGCCTTCACTTAGGGTGGGCAGCCTTGTATAAGGGGCCCCTTTTGGCCTGCCGAGGAGCCAATTCCTTGCACCTGAGAGTTGGAAGATCCCTTTTTTTTTTTTTTTTTTTTTTTTTTCCTTNTCTCTCTCTCTCTCTCTCTCTCTCTCTCTCTCTCTTCCTCCTCCTCCTCCTCCTCCTCCTCCTCCTCCTCCTTCGTCATCCTTTTCTTTTTCTTTTTTTTTCGTCGACGTATCAAGAAACCGGCAGATCCTCCTCCTCCTCCTCCTCCCTTCGTCTTCTTCTCTCCTCCTCCTTTCTCCTCCTCCTCCTCCTCGTTAGTTTTCTTTATCAGTCGAAGTGCCACGTGCCACGTGTCAGCCGAAGTTCGGAGTTCCTCCTCCTTTCTCCTCCTCCTCCTCCTCTTCCTCCTCCTTCGTCATCTTTTTTTTTTTTTTTTTTTTTTTTTTTTCCTTCAATGCTGCTATTTTGATTCTGCTTTGGAAGTTCATTTTGATTCTATGATCTTTTTTTGAAAAAAATTCCCAATTCTATCAATCATTCTGCATTTTACTGGTAATTTGCAGTGACGTGGGTGTTTGTAATGCCGCCGACGCTGACTGACTGTTTCTTTCACTGACACTGGATGCCGTCTACCCTCTTGTTTCTCAATGTCTGATTACCGTCTTATCCCTTTGAAAACCATTTACCCTCTCTTCGATCAATAATCACAGACTTCAGGGTTACAGGTCCGACAGGATGCAAGATCGAGAATCCGGACTCCATGAAGCAGATTGAACAGGTAGGCAACTTTTGGTCTTGAGCCTACCAGGCCTATATCGGTAGAAGCAGCTGCTGATAGTCTTCTTTTTTTTTCTTTCTTTTTTTTCCCCCTCATATAAAAAGTTGAAAAAAACAGAATCTTACTGTTCCGTCCCCATGTCGATTCCAGGGAGCTATGTGTAGTCTTTCTTGTACCCTCCTCCTCGATTTCTTTTCCTTTTTTTTTTTTTTTGTATCCTCTATTTCGTTCATAGTAACTTGGTACATGCCAGCTCATCTGTATTAGTGAGTCGGTTTCAGTGTTTCGTTATCCATTGCCTGCGAGGCAGCATCAGGCTATTTAGGAATCAAATGGCTGATCTGGGACTTTTACGGTTTTCCGGTCCCGCAGCAAACTTCTGTGCTGTGGAGAGGTTCCACTTATCAGGGCACTTCGTTTCTGCCCGTTGAATTTCATTAGAGCGCTGGTAAGGAAGGGGGGGGGGGKGGGCAACTTGAACGCTCAGCCGTGCACAGGGAGGGCACGAGAAGGTTCGGCCTACCAGACCCGAAAGGTGGGTAGTACCGGGAACCCAAGGTGCGCACAGAAAATTTCGAGCGCTGCAACTTGGGGGCAATTTTCTTAATTCCCATTTCCATTGACAACAAATCGGGAACCAGGGCAGGTTCCTCCGTACCTGAGAAAAATATTAAGGAAAAAGGGATTTGTGGAAGGGGAAAAAAACACACAAAAATGAATCCCTATGGTTGGCCGTCCAGTGTCCTCGCTGTGACCTATAGTAGGCCTCCTACCCATTCAGGAAATTTGGAGAGTATGTAACACCATTGATTGACTAACTGAAGACAAACCACACATCTGTATGAAATGATGAATCATCAAGAGTCAAATTAACAGTGGAGTTGAGCAAACCGACGATCTGTTGCACCCTGTGAACCACCATCGTTCCACAATCTGGGGTATAGGCCGCTTACCACAGCCCAAGGTTGTGGACCGATGGTGGTCACTGGTTAGTGTAATGGCCTCTAGGCTCTAACCCAGGGTTGTGTAAAGGTCTCTTATCATTCAGGCTGGGAAGGCCAGGGTTAATGGAAAGTCGGGTTGGAGTCCGTGCCACAACATAAGATCCTCCATCCTGCTAGTTTAATCTAAGGGTGAGAAACACAAAATGACCACGTGAGACGTTGGCCCTGGAGGAGCTCTACCAATCCCTGTGTTTGGGTCATTAAATGCATGAGACCTTGGTCCCGGAGCAGCAGCTCCAGGGACGACTCGGTTTGGGTCTCGTTAAACGCGTTTCAACTTTCTACCGTAGTTACTATCAAGTCGTTTTATCATCGTTTTGTCTAAATTTATCATTGTTTTTGTCGGCTTCTGTCGCGTTGTGTGTTCATTCGTATGTTTTTTTTGTTTGTTTTTTAGTGTCCCTAAGCATGTTGGAACTTCAAAGCGTTGTTCCCGGGTTATCGTCATCATTTTTATGGGCTTCTGTGTTATGCCGTGTGTTCGTTCGTATGATACGTCCCTAACCCTATAAGCATGTGGAACCTCAAAGCATTTAAAAAATATATATTTTGTTCCCCTTTCTTCCTCTCCTCTCTTCTTGTTAAAAAGGGTCACGGCCTTGTGATATCATGATCGAACTGACGGGCCCCGTTAATTTAGAATCATTTTGTGCTGTTCATCTGATTGCATCTGGATTCGAATTTCGAACATGGGTCCGTATTTCAACAGCTCGTGGGTGTACCAACTGGGCTGGGCTAGGTCGGTTGGTGGAACTAGAAAAAGCTTCGTGGTATGTACCTAGGTTGTGTGTTCGACGTTTTATCATCATCCTTTTTTACCAGCTTCTGTCACGTTGTGTGTTCGTTTGTATGATCTCTTTGTGACATCCCTAAGCTTTGGGACAGCCCAGTTGGAACTTCAAAGATTTGGTCCCGAGTTAGGGTTCTGAAAAGGGTTTAGAATCTTTAGAACTTCAGATCCATGAGGCCTTTTGTGAGAAGTATGGGCCTTGCCGTACCACGCACCTCTTGTGCAAATATGAGAATCTATCTTTGCGTAGGATTGTGGAAATATGCACACGCCATGCTTTTATCTTTTTCACATTTGGTGAGCAGTGTGGTGCGGGAAGGCCCGATATCAAAGAACCCATTGCAAATTGCATCATGACGTTGCAAGCCAGATAGTCACGCGTCGAACAGAAAGCAGAATGCACCAAGTTACACACCAAATAAGAGCAAAAGCAATGAACTCAATTGCTAATGCCGGCCTAATCTCGCGACCATCAACAATGTATCCAATATCGCCCTTCTGCATGGCGCCTGGTCCTCAACCACGACATCTCTACACCTATGTGTGTGTGTGTGTGTGTGTGTGTGTGTGTGAGAGAGAGAGAGAGAGAGAGAGAGAGAGAGAGAGAGAGAGAGAGAGAGTACAGACAATGGGAAATTATTAGGAAGAAGATAACATGAGCTTTAGTTTCATGGTTCCACTCTATGCTTGCCTACACTAAATGATGCAACCAGAAGCAGCGGACTGATGTATGTACATGATGACGTCGCCCATGCAGACCTCCACGACACTCCAGGTACGTCCTTCTCTCCCCGTGACTCATCCCTTGACTGATCCCCCTCACAAGCTTACCACCTCCACTCAAGGACCATGACAAACCCCACCGGCAACCAGAGCGAGCAGCCCGGCTATGGCTGCCGCTCGTCTAGCTGCGTCCAGCAGCTTTTTTACTCCCAGTGCCCATGTGCACCCCTTCAACCAGCCAGCGCCCTGCCTTGATCAGCGTGCAAACGGGAAGCGCTGTAAGAAGCTTCCAGCCAGAAAGTGTCTGGGCTGGGGGCAGGCAGCAGACAGCTCGGGTATGGAATGTGCTGCCTGAGATGGCCCTGCCTGGCTGCATGCGACTGGTTCCCAGTAGCCTCGCGGCCTGGCCCAGTATCTGCACCCAGGGGCTTCTCAGATAGTGCCCCGGGCTCAAATTGGTTGAGTGTATGACATGGCCCTTGAGGTCTGCTGCGTGCTCATCGGCCGGTAGGCCCTGAGCCACATCGCGGACTCAAGGTTGCTTCGGCCTCCCTAGGGCCTGGTCACACTCCACGGTCTGAAACTGTCTGGCGGGGCGCTGCCGAGGCCAAAAGTGGCGTCCAAAAAAATTCACGGCGTGCGCATGGGTCCGCACCTGCCTTCTCCAAGGGCGGGGCCCTTTGTTGGCACTGCCGAGGGCTCTACTCTTCGCAAGTCAACTGTGATTGCTTCCACCAGTGGGCGGAGCTCAGTTGGTACACCCATGACCCACGGACGATGATATCTGAAGGCCGGTCAATTCAATGGTGATATCTCAAGGCCATCACCCTTCTTAAGAAGTGCGATTGCTTCGAATTGACTGTGTGGTAAGTTCCCCTCCAGCAGGCCGGCACAGCATTTTCCCGAAAAAAAAAAGAGGAAGGCTGTGCGGCAGGTCAGCTGAAAGACGTCATCTGTCTCTGTCTCTCAGCTGACTTCACACAGTCAATTTGGAAGCAATCGCCGTTGATCGGAAACCTCTCTTTGAGAACTTAAACGGATCCTACACCCTTGGACAGTTCGATATGACTCGGAATTCCTATATCCACTTGAGCAGCCACCTGCCCTGATCACTCAGCATGGAATTAAAGAATTGAAAAAAGTGCAATTTGCTACCAGAACTGCCTATGTAAAACGCAGGCCGCATTGGCGGAGGTTTCACTCCGGGCCTGTGGAGTACATGGAAGTCTCCAAAGTTGACCTTCGTTTAACTAATTTGAGCTTAAAAAACAAAAAAAAAAGAAGTTATCCTTATGAAACCAGTGCTGGTCCCCGGATGGACCGGGTCGGGGGACCCCTCCCCCGACCGAGAGTCTCCCAGTTGAACCGGGCGGTCGGCCGTCCCGGTTGACTCCCGGTCGTCCGCAGCACATTTTGGCCAGGGGCAATCTTCGGGCAGGAGAGCGGCCTGGCTTTCTCTCGCTGTCTTATGGAGGCCGCCGGCGCTGGAAGAAAATTAGAGGAGGGGAGTAGGGTCACTAGACCCCCTCTACAGATCTTCGGTTTTTAACTTTTTATAAAGGGCAGAAAATTGCCAGAAATTCTTTCTCAACTCCCACAGAGGAGTTGATTGAGTACCATGTGGTCTGATGGACCACAGACTAGATAATACCAGATACTCAACCTATCTCAGCCAGAAGGATGAAAACGATATGTTTTTGTGAAGGCTTTGTCGAGATTATATGCTTCTCCCACGTCCTTATGCTCTAGAGAGAAAGAAGTTACGGGATGGGTTTCTGCTCGTGAAGTCAGAACACCAATGTTGTCCGAGCTGCAAGCCCAAGTATGGACCTCGCCCCACTACATGTATTTGGACAGACTACCTGGCTGGATACTTTAGGACTGATGACCCACTGTGTATCGAAAAAAGGAAACGGAAAGTGCACTGACTACACAAGCTGATACCTGAACCCATAACTTTCTTGTACAGCGTTCCTGCCAAACTGCAGCAAAGGGAACAGGGAAAAGAAAAGTTAAAAAAAGTTGTGTCCCCAAGATCGACGTGTAGGCCCTCGGACAGAGATACAGGTAGAGAGATACAGGTATGCCCAGTGGTTATTCTCATTTAATCGGATAATGTCTGTTTGTTTCTTTGTTTGCTTGTTTGCTTCTTTTTTTTTTTTTTGTTGTTGAAAAGTGACTCTGCTGTCAGTCTAGCTCCTTCCTTTCTGGGGAGCACTAGTCTGGTTCCTTTTCTACCAACAAGTCTGTAGTACTCTGTACTGATACTGTGTTTATGGGTGTATTCAGCTTCTCGAGGAAAGGAGCGATCCCCAGGTCGATGAATGGGAAAGGGCATCGATATTGGGAAGACATGACTTCGCTGAATACACGGCGATTGAGGTAACGGGCAGAGATAGGGTTGGACTGTTGAGAGAGATCATGTCCGTCTTGGCGAGAGTGGATGTGACGATTGCAGATGCAACAGTGTGGACGAACTTTGGGCGTATGGCCTGCGTGTTGTACGTTATGGATGCCAATACCGAGCAGCCTATTTTGGACGAGCGGCGGCTTGGTGCGATTCAAGAGCTTGTGTCCACAGTTATGGAGGCCGACGATGCTCACGAGTCTAGAACAACTCTGACACCCTTGGTAAGGTGGAAAGGACAGACATGGACCGAAAGACGTTTGCATCAGATGATGTTTGACGACAGGGATTTCGTCAGTCCTCATCTTAGTGAGTGTGGGCAGCTGACCAGTCCCGTACTCACGCACAAGTCGCCACGCTCTGTCTCTGTCAAAGTCGAAAACGTGCCGGATTATCAGTACACAATGATCTCTGTGAAGTCGTCGGACCGCGCAAGAGTGCTTTTCGATACTGTCTGCACGCTTGCAGATATGGAGTACGATATTTGCCACGCATATCTCAAAGCAGAGGATGGTGTCTGTGATCAGGTTGGTGATTTGCGAAATGCAGCCATGTTTTTTTTTTTGTTTTCGCAACATCACTTTGAAAGCCAGATAGTCCAGCCATGTTTTTCTTATTCAATAAGGCCCCATCTATTCTGGGGATCATCAGTCCAGTTTCTTGTCACCAGAAAGTATGACACCCATGTTTCAACCCTCGTTGATTGCTTACTCTACTTTTTTTTCTTTTTTTTCTTTTTCTTTTTTTCTACCCGCACTGTTCCCTTGGCTGTGGTTTTGCAGGATAAAGTAGATCAGGACAGTGGGAATCTCGTTAATCGGGATGTCAATCCAGTGATTGCCTACGTCACTTCTTACCCAGTTTTTTCTTTTTTTTCGTTGCTCATAAAATTTTGGACCATTTTTTCTCGATTTATGTGTGTCATCCTTTATTGCGCAGGGGCCATGTTAATCTTCTTTCTCTGTATCGCTCCAATTTTAACGGATGTCCCGAAGGACACTTCTTACCCAGTTTTCAAGTTTTCATGTTTTCAAGTTTTCATCGATATCCACAACAGTTCGCAATGAGCAAAACCGTTCACATGGCTTTTTTTTTTGCCTTTTATTTTTTGTTCACGTTCAATAAAGGGTGACGGCCTTGAGATATCATCCTCGAACTGACCGGACCTAGGTAATTCAGAATTGTAGTATTATACTCATCTGTGACCATTGGAGTTCGAACTCAGGACTGTATTTCAACAGTTCATTGGGGTTACCGACTGAGCTAGGCGCTTACATCTTTATACTAAGTTTATAGTATTTTGTAATTATGTTTGGGAAGCCTTTGATGATGAAAAGAGAACGTAAGTTATGCACTCTGATAAACGGAATTCTCGTCCTCGATAGGTTTAAAATGCTCTCACAGGTGAACCCTTCCCACGGTGCTTGAACCCTTGAACCCCTTGAACCCCTTGAACCCCTTGAACCCCTGGACCCCTTGAACCCCTTGAACCCCTTGAACCCCTCTTGAGGCCCTCGAACCCCTCTTGAGCCCCTTGAACCCTTGACCCCTTGAACCCTTGAACTCCTCGAACCCCTCTTGAACCCCTCTTGAACCCCTCTTGAACCCCTCTTGAACCCTGAGACAAGATTTGAACCGCAGATGCCTCGTTTCAGCATGGGTTTGATTGAACTATGAGCTTTGACCGCCCCATGGTGCTTGAAACCTTGGAACCACTAGTACCTTAGGCCCTTCAGAAATGAAGGAAAAGGCCCGTTCCCGAAGAATTCAGAGGACGGGCCCGACGGCAGCGGCCATTGATAAATCTTATGGGCGGCCGCCGTCTCGGTTCGGCCTCGTGAAAGGTAGGAGGCCCGCTATTTTCGGAAACCACAAAGGTAGTAGTGGATTAATACCTGCTTGTTATCTGGCAGGTCACAGCAGTAAGACTCTGCAACCTGTTCCATGTGTTTGCATATGTGATGTTTTTTTTTTCTTTTTTTCTTTTTTCCTTTTGTGTGTGTGTGTGTGTGCTCGTAAGGTCATGCCACAAGGTTCTGTCCCATACAGTTGCACTTACAGAGCGAAACGTTTTGATAGTCCCATACAGTTACGCTTACAGAGCTGAACGTTTTGACATAGTGGTACTGTATGGGACTGGGATTCCAGCCGGTGCACTTGCCTCGCTGCTTGCCTGTGTGCTTGCCGTGTGCCTTGTTGCCTTTTGCTCGACTCTTTGTCTTGTGCTTCGCAACTTTGCTGCCTGCCTGCTTTGTGTTCCTGCTTGGCCCCTGTGTGGTGGTAAGGTCCAAATCGGAATGGCAGAAGCCTTGAACAGTTAAAAAAGACGAAGTTGTATTTTAACGTGCTGGTGTTTTTTAAGTGTAGGAAAGCTTCGTCTTTCTTACCTGCTTTGTGTTGCTGCTTGGCCCCTGTCTAGTACAACGTTTCCTGTCTGGGAGCGTTGTGCTGCTGATCACCTTGGTGCCTTCCTGCTTGATTCTCACCACAAGCTTCGGTAGTGGGGCAGACCGCCTTGCTGCGCACTTGCAACTGAGGTCAAGGCAGCTCATTCATTTCTCAATCCGCCAACATGGAAGCCGGCAGCCTGATCAGGATTCCATCTCCTAATGAGGCAGAGGGAGAGAGTCAAATGAAACAGCTGTCCCACTGTCCGCACTTTTTTCGGCAAAGGAAGTCTGACCAACATGGAAGTCGGCAGCTTGGCATCAGACAACCTAATGGCGTTTTATGAGCTCCCTTTACAGCAGATCTGAGCAGGTACTGGCCGCGGTCCGGCAACGGAAGCTTTTGGTTGGCACCAAGAAGGAAGACACCAAGGCGAACAGCAAAGCACTGGGTAGGCAGATGTCGARCAAGAAGCAACACATAAGACAGGCAGCAAAGGGGCAAAGCACGAGAGAAATAGACGAGCGGGTACGGGCCGGGGTCCCGCAACAGAAGCTTTTGGTTGGCACCAAGAAGGAAGACACCAAGACGAACAGCAAAGCACAGGGTAGGCAGATGTCGAACAAGAAGCAACACATAAAACAGGCAGCAAAGTGGCAAAACATGAGAAAAATAGACGAGCGGAATGTGGGGAGCACTGTCAAGCACGCAGGTCAGCAGGTCACATCGTAGGCACAGACGGGAAGCAAGCAGCAACACATAAAACAAGCAGGTGGACAGGCAGCAAAGGTGACCACGGACCAGTGAACAATGTAGGCAGACGGCAAGCAGGCAGTAACACATAAAATAAGCCGGCAGGCAGGCAGTGAAGGGGCAAGACACAAGACAAATAGACGAGCAAAACGTGGGAAGCACTGTGAAGCAGGGAGGTGAGCAGCAAGGCAAGCAGAAGGCAGGTAACCGGAAACCCACCAAGTACGGCACCATAGCATCAAGCCATGAGGCAAGGGGGACAGGAATACAAGCAGGCATAAACAAAGCACAGGACAGGCAAGCACCGAGGCAAAAAAGCATAAGGCAGCTGCAATGCAAAAAGCAATAAGAGAGGCAGGCACACGGGCAACAGCACAGCAGCTCAAGTGACCAGCAGCCCTGCTGGGCACCGACCCAATAGCACACTTGTTGTTGATAATAAAGTGGGCTCTGACTCAGTTACACTGAATGGTTAGAACTGCAGACTGTAGGTTCATACCAACTACAAAGCCAGGGATTCGACGGATGCCTGTCACCGTTAACAAGGAATACTAAGGAGACATAAGACCTTGTGGATACACCAACTCCGTGATAGCACACAAGGGATTTCTAACGGACTGTGCCTAAGAAATTGTAGCATCTTGAATCGGGTCGTTGTGGATAAGGAAGACTAGAATGAAAAACATAGCAAATGTTGTGTACAATGGAGAATAGTATCTCAAGAAAGTGTGTGTGTGTGTGTGTGTGTGTGTGTGTGTGTGTGTGTGTGTGTGTTATGTTTCTATTGCGTGGCTTCTGCGACCGCGTCGCAGCATGGTGCATCGAAAGTTGTGCTTATAAACAACACCAGGAAAGAGCCCAAGGCCCGGGATGGCCATCGAAAAGAATGCTTATAACGCCCAGCTTTCCAAAGCCATGAAAAAGAAAAAACAAAAACAAAAACCAAACCAACCAGCAGTATGACAAGTACTACAAGGCAAACAAAATGGCAAGGCTAAGGTCAAGACGCAACACGGTACTTGGAC